GCCCGACCAGAGGAGAAACCCAGAAGTTACTGAATTGCAGTTTAGTGCAAATAAACAAGCAAAGCTACCGCCACATAAAATTTGCTCTGTCTACTTGATAACTATTTAGCTCCGTCTCCTGATTATGCCCTATGATACTTGTTGAGTGCGGACTACCATGGTAAAATTCATTCACAAATCTTTGCTTGTCAAAGTGTTGTAAAGTTTCAACTATCTGCAGTTCAGTGCACCTGGACATGGTGCTAAGTGCTTTCAAGTACTGACTGCTGATGGAAACTCACAGTGCAGGATCATATTAGCTCTGACCCTGAGCACTCCTCTCTCTTGTCAGCAGCTCTCAAAATTCTTTCAATGGTTGTAACCACTTTGTAGTCTCCATTTTTGCAGATGGGAACCCTGGGGCATGGGAAGGCTCGCAGCTTGCGCCAGCTCAACGGAGCAACAAGAGCAGCTCTGGGATTTTTCAACGTCAAGCCGAGAACGAAGGGAAGGGCGGTGGGCTCCCTCTGCTTGGGGCTGCTGGAGCTCGTGGGTGCCGCTCAGCCCCCACCCCTTGCAGGTGGTAGGTGGCACCAGCTCTCCCAGCGGGAGGGGACTACGGCGCTGGACTGGATCGAGCTGCCGTGAGGACAATGCTCGCGAACTTAGCTTAGTGTCAGGAAAGGGGTTCTGTGTCTTTGTGTATCACGTCAGACTGAGCTAGTGCCCCTCTCTTGTGGTTCTCCTGCCAGGAAACTTTGGTCAATAGTACTTGCAGGTACCCAAAAAATCTGAAACACAGTAGTAAAAATCAGACAGAAACAACAAAACAGATCTTTATAGCTGGAATCAATATTCATAAACATTCTCAGATTGGCCTTAAGATTCATACATACAAAAGAAGAAGAAATAAACCAGAGCAGCTCCAAGTTACCAACATGGAAATACTGTAAAATTTTATGGTAACATTAACATAATCCGTATGCGGTAGCACCAGAGCATACAGTCACAGCACTCTTCCCTCATGCCTGTGTGCTGTCACTGTTTCACAGATGAGACTGAGCTCATAAGAAACATTCCTAATAGGTGTACAGAGCTGCTGGAGGAGGTAAAGCATGAAGGTAGCAATTGGGAATCTAAAGTTGGACCTTCTAAATTAGTTTTAACCTATAGAGCATGCAGCCATTAACTGACTGTGGAAGCTGATGCTGAACTTCCCTGGGGAAAAAGGGAGCTTGAAAGAGAACAGAGAACAACTTAATAGTTGTGATAAAAATGTTCTCTCCACTTCTGGTTTAAAAACAATCGATCAAAAACCTCTCCAAAAGACTGCCAGCACTTCTCTCCCAAAGGTGAGGGAGGGAGATTTCCCAAAGCCTGGACTACAAGGAGGACAAGCGGGCCTCAGCTACAGACCATTGGTGTGGAAAGTAGCAACACCCTGGTAACAGAGGGAGCTGGCTGCAAGCGATGAGTAGGTGCTAATCGCATCACTGGCGTTACACAAGCAGTTTTATTGCTATTCTAAGAGTACTTGACAGGTTTCCATCCCTTCATGCAGCCCAGCCAGCGTTCAGCTGTTACTCAGTCATTTTCATTAACAATTCTTTGCCAAAAGAAATACCTGACTGATCTTACAAAACTAGAAAAGCATGGAAAAGAAGAGAGAAAGAACCTTTAAATCAGCTTCCACATGAATAATTAACACAGACAGGGGCTATAATGGAAAGGCATTTTATTTTCGCCAGGTAACAACACCCCTCCCTCTATAAAGGAAGTAATGGGGAAAGGGAAAAAACCAACAACCCCCCGAAGCACTACTGTCACTGTGAGCATTGGAAAGGTCGTGTTCGAGAGCTGCAGCAAAGGCCTGCTCGCTTCCCCCATCGCAGCCGTGAGGCAGAGCTGGTTTTGAATTCTCCACAACCAGGTTCACAATCAAACTAGCAAGAGGGATGCTGCTGGTGGCATTTTTAACTCCTTGGGTCTCGTATGTTATAGTTAAACAGACCTTGGGCATATTAATAAATCTAAAAAAAAAATAATTTAAAAATTCGTGGAAGGGAGCTCACTGTGCTAGTCCCGCATTCTTTTCGGCAGTAATTCACTCTAAAATGCCTATGGAGTGCAAACTGTTATTAGGGGGCTGAAAGCCTTAACTCTAATAAAGATAATAGCCAACACACATATAAATAAGACTCATTTCCATTTTAAAACATCATGGGAAAGTCAATTCCCATTGCATGATTGATGGAGACTTCCTAAATATTAATAAATATATTACACATATTTACAAGCTTCTGATTTTATCCTCTGATGCTAATGTGAAGTTCAGACCATAAATAGGACATGCTGGGCGGCACCGCAGGGTACGCAGGCAGATGGCTGCAGTGGATTTGGGATGCTAGCGCAAGCAGCAAGATGGAAAGCTAAAAATAGCCCACTCCGCAGAGAGGCAGGCAACCAGTGAGCTGAGCTCCTGAGGCTTCGCGTGAAAAACCAACCTGCTGCTTTTTCTTTTGTGGAACGAAATGCCAGGATAACGCCGAGAAACTGTGCCAGAGAGGAAGGGATGGGAGGGAAGGGGAGAGGCAGCCCTCTGCACCACGTTTTCTGGAGCTTGCCACAGCGTGTCAGCAGGCGGGGGGGGGGGGCCCAGAGAAAAAGGGAGGTTATCCAGGCCGGGCCCCATGGCAGCTCTGGGTGAGCAACACGGAGCAGTTTGTACAACCGCTGCGCCGTTGTTCGGTGTTTGTGCCCTGCCCAGTGCAGCAGAGTCCGGCCCGAGCCAAGGGCTGCTGGGCATCCCGGGAAGGCAAAGGCTGCATGGCGAGGCTGCGCCGCTTCCCCAGAGCCGCCCCGGATCTCCCCAGGCGGAGGGGGGCACAGGCGCGCCGCGAGGGACTCGTTTCCCTTCGCACGCTCGGGTTTTACTTAGTCCTTGATCCTGCCTGCTCTGCAACATCCCAAATCCCTCTCAAAGGGGAGAATAAACATGCTGGATCCCCTCCACCTCAGTGGCTTGAGGATGCCAGGGAAGAGGATTGAGCGATTGTAAACGTGTGGCTGGGGCATTTCCAGGAGAAAACGGTAAGAACAACAACAGGGGAGATGCAAAGTGAGATTTCCTGCATTTCTTTCAGCCTAGTTTTCCTGATGTACTGTGCAGCAAACACACGGGCTCGTTTTGGCACAGAAACAAGAAAAAGTGCTGATGTGACTGAGATCAGGCGACCCCTTCCAGCGAGAGCAGAGCTTTCAAATCAGCCTGTGCTGCTCACCTCCTGCAATCCTGCATCCTTATCTCACGCCAGTACTTCAAGTGCCTGAACATGCAAGACACTTGTCCAGAGGTACCCCGAGGAGAGGGCCATGACACCTGCCCTGCTTCTCCTGTTTGCATTGGTTCAGAAAAAAATTAAAAACATTATTTCAATAAGCCCTGCATACACAAAAATTCTCATTTTCCAAGGGGGCGTTTAAAGAAAAAGAAGGATGGATGAGTCCCTAGGGAGGCGTAAGGGACTTTTGCATGTGCTTTTTAAATCAACTTAAAAGATAAAATATGAGCGGCTGCTCCGAAGGCTGCAATGTAACGTGCAAATACACTTTGAAGGGGAAGTCTTGTTCCCCGGGGCAGCAAGAGGCAGCCCACAGTGGGACTGGAGCCGAGCTACCGAAGGGGAGCCAGCCACTCCCGAGGCCCCACAGCCTCCACACTGTGCCCTACCAGGGCTGGCGGGGCAGTCTGCCTTCTCTTGGGCTTTTCAGTGCACGAGATTTGGACAGGAGAATCTGTTTTGATTAACACATCTTTAAAATCAGGTTACGGAAATCCAGTCCCAGCTACTTTGGAGCAGTTCTGAGGTATCTCTCATTAATCCGAAGTATAGAAATGTTAATAAATAGATCTGAAACTTTTCTGCTATGTCATTCTATAATACACTGCTATATAGATATTAAATATGCCTCAGGGTATTAAAAAAATTTATGAAAAAGTTACAGTAGTTGATTTTCAAGTATTAATAACTTGGCTATGTTAGCTTGTTTTTAAATACCAAAATGATCTGGCCCCAAATTATTGACTAAACTCTGGCTATGCCTGAATTTAAAAAAAGTATTTTGAATATAAAAAAAAGTGCAAAAAAGCATGAGATGTCAGTCAACATTGTAACATTGTTGGAACTTCTAAACAACTAGTCTAGCACTCTTCCATGAGTGAATTAAAAAGGGAAAAAGAATGAAAAAAAAATAAAGGAAAAAAAATAAGAGAGATTGCTCCCAATCTGAGACAGCACTGTCCCAAATTTCAGCAGAACATGAATTTTTACAGCCAAGCTATAAACCCCAGAAAAAATGGGGTTATCACTGGATATGCTGTCAGACATAACTATAGCAGTATTTGTGTGCTCCATTATAATACAAATGTACACCTTACCCACTATTTTCTCTGTGTAACCACTAGAACAACTTTACAGGTATTCAGTTAAAATTAGAAGCCTCCCTTATTTCCCATCCTCCCCATAAACTGTACAACTCTGTCTACCACTAAAATTCACTGCTACTAGTAGTCATTATCATACATTCAAGATAGAAAGTAAACTACTAAAACCTGCTCAGGAGACACTTAGAAGTATGCTAAGGTTTAAAAAGTACAGCAGCTCAGGGGAATGGCCAACCACACCGGCAAAGAGCTTCGTCGTGTATTTTTCCCTAGGACACAGACATTGTAGAGTCCAGTGCTGAACCCTGATCTCAGAGCAACTGAAACAGTTCAACGAAAGATGGTTTTGACCACAGTCGCTCACACTCGGTGTCTGGTGTGCGATACAACCCTTTGCTGTTTCAACTAGGACGTGAGCATTACTAGGGCGGTAATGCCAATATGACTTACTGTTTGCTACTGTGCTAACATGGACACTTGGTTAGATTTGGTTCTCCATTAAACATCTGTTTTCAGCTCATCTCCTGAAAAATGATTCAAAGCATGGTTAAAAAAAGATTGAAAGCAAGAAAAGGCTTTCGAGTTTCAACGCACACATACAAAAGAGGCAACAATTTCAAACCATTGATTTTCTTCCAGTGCGAGCAGCTGACCCGTTGCGTATCATTCTGCACAGATCTAAACATAGCGTTGTGTCTCTGGGAACCATTGGAGTAGGAAATCCTGTGACCTAACGCAAATTCAAGCCAGTCAAGTGAAACGAAGCAACAGAATGATAATCCAGTTTCAATGACCTTGCTCATGGATGATGACCTCATGAAGACAAAAGCAAAGAAAAAGGCACACGGCTCAGATCTCATTGATAGTCCTTTCAGAGGGGCAGTATTCAGAGGTTCCCGGAGACGACATGTAGAAGGACTGCGTTTTCCTTTTTAACCTGGCTCGCTTGTTGGCCAGAGATAGGCTGCGCCGGCTTGAATTGATGATTTCTGAAATAAACTTCTTGCAGTCCACACACACCTCCATCGTGCTCCAGTCCTCCATCAATTCTTTGGGAAACTCTTCATGTGACTTATCCACAGATTTGGACCTTGAGGTCAACCTGAAAGGCAAAAGAACAGGATCTGTCACATTGGTTAGCTCCACGGCAGTGGGCCCCAAGGGACACCTTCAGGAAACAGCACATCGGAACAGTCTTGCTTTAAATCTTCCTTTCTTCTGTCCTAAAAATGACACCAGGAGACCAATCTCCGGAGAGGACAGCTTCTGCTTGGTTTGGCAAGATTGCAGGGTGACTAACTGAGGGCATTTTCCTTGACAAAAACAACCTTACTAATAACTATAAATAGATGATGTGTTTGGCTAATTTGACACAACGTCATAGCGCTAGTGAATTATGCAGAGGGGTTATACTGTAGATTCCCTCAAAAAGGAGCATTTCTTTTATCTTTTAATTTCTTGTATTAGCTTTGACAACCATCTGTGTGTAAGATATAAAGCCAGTACGTAACTTCATAATATCAAAGTGAAAAAAAAAAAGTGAAAATTAGAATTAGAAAAATTAGGGGGAAAAAAGATAAATCTGTGCAAGACATCATTGAAATCCCACTCAGTGAGTGATTCTAGCCTGTGAGAGTTCTCTCCGGAAAGTCTATTCACACCAGAAAAGGATATGCTAAGGATATTTTTGCAGAGGTGCTACAGAAATACAGTTGTCCCATACTCATATTATTTTTCCCCTGTAATGTGAAAAAGGTTTAAGACATGCTGTTAGTTTTGCTATTTCTGATAATCAAAGCAATGAGTGGAAGAGACATGGATTTTCAGGCTTCAGAAAAGTTACTACAAGCATTAGAGACATTGACAATGACAAAACAGGTAGGCAGCATCTTTGTAATGATTGATAATTCAATATGAAACGCTTAGGAAGCATTTGCAATAGACACAAGTGAGCTAGGATTGTTTCTCACCTGGACATGCTCCGCAGTGAATGGTGATGACTGGTAGAGGGTTTCTCTGGCCTCATAAAGCTTTCTCCTCTTTGCAAGGTTGAAGGTCCCAGTGAGAAGATGGGGAGAGTAGAATATGGCTTCGATGGCAACCGCATCTGTTGAGAACAGCAGAAGGAACATGCAGTATCATTACAAAGATTACAGCTTTTTAGAAAGGATCTAACCATAAGTTTACTTACTTTTTTGCAACACTGTGAGCATACAGGCCTGTGTAAGAAAGCAAAAGCATGAATCATTTCATTTGGAAAAATTACATTTAAATCAAGAATAAGGGATAAGTGTTTTCAGGAGTTAGAATCCTCCCCCATCCTCCCCTTAAACAAACATTTTTACTTTTAAAGCTTCTTCAATGTAATAACTTTAATAAGTTCAAGCAGATCATGAAGCCAAAAGCAAGGAGAAATGCTAAAGAACTACAGCTAAATTAAAAAATAGAAAAAAAAAACCCACCCAAACCTGGTTTTCCTCTAAAGAAACCTCCTTTGGTGAGACAATAAGTCAGTGATTCCATAGATCTTCAGAATTACTGTCTCACTGTTCAATTTAAAATTTTTCATTTTTCCTGCAAATGATTCCTTTTCCTTTTCCCTTCTTCCCCCACTAATACTCCAAAAATAATCCAAAAGGTAAATTGCCTTGAAATGTTTTCCCCAACAACAGAGATTATGGAACTGTTGACTGGGGAGTCTGAGTAAATTCCATCTCACTCTCCCATGAGCATAAAAGAGCAAATGAGTGTTTCTCTCACTTTTAGCCAAGAGTTTCAGTCCAAGGAAGCAATTCTGTCACTTAGGAAGGAACTGGTTTTGCACAGTTTTTTTAACATCGACTGTTACAGAAATAAAAAAACAACAGTATGCAGCAGAAACATTTGAGGGTTTCTAATGTATAAATCAGCATTTTCCCCTCTGGAACGGTACTCGTTTATTAACAGATATTAAATATTTACCTCTTACAGAACTGACAAGTGTAAGACCAGGTAAAGAAAGAAAACCTTCTTGTTCGACAGCAAAAGCAGAGCTAAAAGAAGAACAGAGGAGTCCACAACGTTAGGCAAAGTCCTACACAGTAATGACTTAATCTATCAGTTGCTATCAGTGAGACCACAGTTACAGTACTACATCCAGTTCTGGGGTCCATACTTCCAAGATGATACTGAAAGGAATGGTCCAGAATTGTATCTTCGTATATTTAGAAATACTCCTTTAAGCTTTTACCTAAATTAAATACTTGCCAGTTATTAATTAACTTATTTTTACTTCTCCCTCGCTGATGTTTATATCATTACTACAAAAACAAGCACCAGGAAAGTAAGAGTTACAGCCGAAGAACACAAGAACAAATGGGCATAAATTCAGCCGTGAATACATTTAGGCTGGAAAAGGTTCCTAACCATCTGGGTCTGGTTCTGGGACACAAAGTTTTTGCCTGTGATAACATTTGACGATTTTCTTCCAATCCTACATTCCTGAAAACTAGAGGAGGTGCAGAAAAGAGCTATTATAGCAATCTCACTTGAGGAAAACCTGCTTTATAGTGGGATAATAAATCCCAACTATTCAGTTTACTCAAAGGAGGTAGGGATCACAGCTTAAGAACATTTCTAGGAAGGAAAGGCATTGAACAGTGGAAGTTCTGCAGTCAAACAAAAGATGACATACTGAGATCCAGAGACTCAGGTGAGGCTAGATAAATTTGGCTAGAAATAAAAGTAAAGAGTTTTAATAGTGGGGTAAATTAATGAAAACATCAGATTACTTTGAGATTTGATAAAAGCTCATTACTAAGCTTTATATGTCATGACAATAGTCAACAGCTGAATCTAATGAATGACATTTTCAGATTCTTGTTCCTCCGCCTTAAATGTATTAAGTCTTTCAATTAAATCTGCATACTAGACACAGGTAGGCCTGTAGGTAAAATACACTGTGAAGTCAAAATGCACTTGCTGGAGGTGTTCAAGAAGCACAAGTCAGAAGTGAGAGAAAAGGACACTGCTTCTACTGGTAAATACCAATTCCCAATCTGCAGTTTACAGAAAAAAAATGCATTAGTTAATGGGTTCTCTAATATTAAAACTCCTTCTGGGGTCACATGTTGTCCGACTTCTCTGAAGGCTTTCATTCCCTCTTTGCTTGACGGTAAAGATTAATATGAAAAATTTCTTGTAGTTTCCTACTGTTATCTGTAATTCTATTTTCTGGAATAGAAATGCTAAGCAATACTGCAGAAGGCATGGGGACAGAAATCTCTTCATTCAATGAAGTTTAAAACATACCCATGCAGATATGCTCTGGTAATTGCAAATGCTACTGCATTTTTATAGACAATCTAAACAAATATGGTATTTCCATGAAAAGTTTTGATGTTTCTGCCCATAATTCAAGGAAGCTGACCCATGTGTTATACATTTAGGGGGATATTTGGTGGATATCTCTTCTTTCTCTCCAACACAGGGTAAGAAACAAATGTGTAACTGGGAGGCTTGTGTGACCAGCCTCCCTCAATAAGCTTTGGAGCCTCCACAGACTCAGCCCTACCTTTCCTTTCTTGAGAGCAGTGTAGACATCTTTATATTGCTGGTACTTTTCCAGCTCCGCCTTCACCAGCACCTGACGGATGTGCATGACCTCCTCCACCGTCAGAGCCAGACATTCCACCGGGTAACAGAACTCCTCCTGGAAGCCAAAAAACCTGTATTATTTCAAAGCCAAATGGCTTCTTCCAGACTTCAACCTAGACAACCAGCCACCTGGTTAGTCACTCCAGAAATAAAGGGTTTCTCCCTTCAAACTGGAATAGCACTGGCTCATTCATGGGCATCACATGAGTTCCAAACCGCCGGAGACTGCGTAAGTGTGATCTAAATGGTCTGGTGTTCAGCCTTCACAACAAGGACAGTTTTTGTCATCTTTCCTCCTCAGACCACTTGACCCTTCTCTCCATTTGTCTGTTATTAGGAAGATTTGTTTGAAACCAGTCAATGTTCAGGTTTATAATTTGAAAGGGAAAAGGTAATTTGGCAGATGGCATTACTTTTAAGTATACGGTTTAAAGACACGCAATTTCTCTGAGACTTTGTGATGCCCAGAGTGGCCATGGAAAGTGGTTAGTAGCCCATTCTAGCAGAAATTCTTATTCAGTGGTACCACATCTTGGTGCTCACATGATCAGAATCCCACCAAGACTACAAAAAGTTACGTCAGTTTAGGCAGAAAAGTTCTCTTTTCTGCCCCAGGAAAGTAACAGCAGCAATTTAAGCTTTACAGAATATTCTTCAAATATAAAGCAGGAGAACTGGTTACCCAATGTTGAATTATTAATGGAAAAGACTCAAATAGAGACTAATACCACAACTTTCCACTTACGAAATTTTGCATCTGCTCTGTATTACAGCATTTAGGAGAATATTGAGTAGAGAACTCCTGAATTTGGTACCAGAGAATAAAAAGCACCAACCCAATTTGTAATCCAGCCCTGTAGTTGATTATACATTTCCAACAGAAAGACAGAAACCTCTGTGGGAACTCCCATGGCTTTATGCTTAGTGAACCTTTTCAGTCAGCCCAGAGGGGGCTACTGTGCGGCAATGACAATGACATGTAATGCTCTCTGAATAAATGAAGGAAATTTCTCCAGCAGATACAAAGACATGGCTGACAGGTTGGAGATCTCGTTTACAAATTGAAGTGATGAATTGGATTAGTAGTGAAATGCTCCATTTCCATGTACTCAGAGATCTGTTCTGTCTTTCCATTAGATTAAAAAGAAAATCTTTCTACATTGCAGACCTGGCAAACATTAGCATTTAGGAACCACCACATTTTTAAAAACTGTTGTCTTACCTATCTAGAAAGGGAACACAAAGAAACTTCACTCTGTTTAAGGTACCCCACAAAAGACTAGAATTGAGTTAACTTTGTTAGATGTACCGGCTAAACCTTTGGGGTATAGAATCACTAGTTTTCTGGAAAGAACAAACTACATCAAAAGCAACTGCAATTTGCTCTGAGGTGTAAAACTGCACAGCCCAAACAAAATAACTTCTGTTCCTTACGAGCAACTTTACAGCTAGCCGGCAGCTCTCAGCGTTTCATTCTGGGTTCTTCCCATAGCAACTGCCTCACTATGGAGAAGGCACCGGCTGAAGGCTGGGGCGAGATGGGAGAGGAAGTGCCTGGGAAAGCGTGATGCATACAATGCCAGCAAACCCCCTCGATTCTGCATCGTGGGAGACTGAGAGAAACTGTCCGAGGTGAACGAGGCTGACTGAATGCTTGTAATCAATCAGAGCTTTAAGTCCTTTAGAAATACATTTCTTACTTGAAGCTCTTCCTTCCCCCTCATGAACGCCCATTCCTTTAATTTACAGAACGATGACATTGGGGAATATTGCTCCTTTGAAGAAAGGCTGCGGATCTGCTATAGGTATAGAGCAGGTACTAGGGGAATAGTGTGGGCCTGTTATTGTACCAATCAAAAATGATTATCACTAAAGCAAATAGAAATAGCTAGCAGGCAACAGGGGAAACATAGAAAATGTTCACATGTTTAAATGCTAATGTTTTAATTCCAGAGGTTACACAAGGACAACAAAATGTTAATGCAACATTAAATGAATGATAAATATTATGCTGATTTCAAAAAAAAGCTTGATTTTTTTTTCCCCCTTTTCGGAATAGAAATAAGTACACAAGAATATCTTTTGTTTCTACACTACCTTTAAGGCATTGAAATTAATTAAAATTACGCTAAGCACTGGCTAAACTTCATTAAACAATGATGCTTTGGAGTTATTGCTCAAACTTCCAACGATAATCTACACTCAAGTTAGGCAGCTCCAAGTGAGAGAACTTCAGCTCTCTGCAACGCTTGCATACAACAGAACATGCTGAAGACAAAATGTGGTTTGAATGGTCTTGATTTTCTGGAATTGTACTCAATGCTCATTTTAATATTAAACACAAGTCAGTATTCTTACTTTTAAAGGAAAAAAAGTCTTACTTAAAAATAGTATTTTGAACTTGAAGTTTCAAAGATCCTCATGAGAACTGGCTTAACACTTTGTGCGGTCTTATTATATACACTGTAACAGCTTAAGGTGTATATGTGTATTTTTTTTTTTACTCAGGAAAAGCAGGTAGTAAGAATTACATATCCATAATGTGAAATAAAGTGCTTTGTAGGTCATTCTCAGCATATGCACACCTAATAGCTCCTTATGACTAACACATTTTCACACTAATATATTCCTCGTTAAACTTCTCATTAAAGGATGTCACTAGGCACTCAAATGAGCTGCCCCAGTAAATTGCAATACAAACAAGTGCTGGATTGGCCTCTAAATTCTGCAATTCACAATTAGTCAAGCACTCTAAACTCTCATTACTTTTGGAGACTAGAAGTTTCTAAGAAGTCAGCTGGATAACTCAACTATAAACTCTCCTGCAACAGGTTTTGAACTTTCACTTACTGATTGAGACAAGAAAAAAAGGAAAACATTAAATTATTCATGTTTAGTTCTACATAGGGGTAAATGAATCAGTTTTTCTTTTTAGTTGATTTGCCTTCCCTGGTATATAGCTATTAGTTATCCTGCAAGTTCAGATACGTAAGTGTGCTGAGGAACAAAACCGTATGTAGGTTTTCAAGTAAAACAGATTGCAAATGCCCTTCTATTCTACATAATGTATCTTGTTAGAAACATAAAACCTTATTCTTTTCAACATAGTCCAAGGGTTACAGTAGTTTTGCTGGATTTTTGCTGCAGGATCTTCATGTGCTGTAACATTTAAGGTCTGTCCCATTGATAATCTTGAGATGTTGCATTTTTAGTTTGCTGTCCTTTCAGAACTGATTTCTTTTCCCCGTGAGATGATTGAAGACACACAAATATCCTACACACATTGAAATCAACGTCAATCAGGTGCAATGTCCCAGCCTGAGCTTTAATTCTTGCCACAGCTTAGGAAGTGCTCCCCTAGGAGGGAACATGCTGGTGAAGGTGATTTCCAAAGCCAGCAAAAAGAGGCAAACCTTTGCGGGTTTCCACCTGCTGGCAAAAGCTCTCTCACAGAGATAGTACATAGCCCCTGCCACCCCACACATGGCTGCTTCAACGGGATGAGAGCTGAGCAGAGAAGCTGTTTGCACAGTTGAAAAAAGTGGTCTGAAAGTCATCCTTGGAAATAAACTGGTTATCCTAGGAACCTGAACAATAGATAGGAAGCAGAGAAGCGAATGCTGTGTATAAACGAAACCATTAGCTTTGGTCCTCTGGGTCATGAAAAATAATAATGATAGTAATAATAATAATACTATTTAAAAAGCAAACAGACTACAAAGGCATTAATATGTACATCTCAGGACACTGGCTTCATCTCACTGATTAAGCACCGAGTCAGCTCAGTACAGTGAGCACACCACCAGGCTGACCCCCCCCCAAAATCACTGAGCTGCCTTGCCTTTCCGTGTAGCGCTGGTAGGGTGACATATCAAAAGGACTACGTTTGGCATCTTTCCAAGTCTGTTTCCCCTCCCCACCTACTTAGGTCTAACTCCCTCTGTCTGATGAGATGCCAGTTCATAAAACCGTTGTTAGTATGCAAGACAGACCAGTTTCTTGCTAATCCTGCTAAGAGACTGTAGCAAACCCCTGCCTGTTTTCACTGGCATTGAGGGCTATTTATTGACGAGGCCTCTTTCACCTTGGAGAGAAACTGCAGTCACAGGAGCAGGTGATAAGAAATGAAACTCCATCAATCCTGGAGGAAGGGATGAAGAAGTGTGAAGTCAAATAAAAAGTAAATAATATTCTGCACTTATTGAGAAGTGTTCACTCCAGGAACGGCAATGTCATGTATGCAGCATCTGGAGCAGCCACAGAAAGAAGCTGGCATCTTTCCAGGGAAGGAAAGACTTGCAGTAAGCCAAAGTGTGGCACTGGGGCAGCGCCAGCGTATCAGAAACCATCTACCAAAACTAAAACCAAAAGTATTGTGGGAGTTGTCTGTCACACCCTAGAGGGCACTATTGCCAAGTTAAAGAATTAGCTCTCTAGGCATCAAATAAAATAGGTTCTTATTAACAGAACATCGTTTCACTACTGATTTTCCTTCTTTCTCACTTCATAGCCAAAACCAAGCTAGGTGACAGTTCTCTAAAGATTTAAACAACAAAAAAAAACCAACAACAAAAAAAACCAAACCAAAAAACCCAAGTACAAAAGAAACGAGTAAAACCTTTCCCACGTGTTCCCATACTAGCCTGACTTATCTAATGTCTTTTTTTCCCTTTTCCTTTAGTATTTTTAAGGGCAAGTGGAATAACTGAATTCATTTTTCTGTAATGGTTTTATTTCTAGGCATATGAACAGACTGACAGAGGGAAAATACACGTGGTCAAAAAGGCCCTGTTAAGAACTTGCTTGACCTATTTAAAATAATGGCCTCATATATAAGATTTTTAAGTTGCATGATCCCCTCAAATATGTATGAGATCAATATTATGATGTAACATATTTAGATACACTAAAAGTGTGATGGAGCAAATGCCTCAGTGTAACATATAATGCTTTCTCCCCTCCTCCCTTTAAACAATGTCTGTGAATGACTCTGGGCCTATCACAAAATAAAGCTTGTGCTTCCCCACAGAGTGAGTGCAGCAGGTGATGACAGGGCAATCCATTTTATGTGGCAGTGTCTTCAAATGCATGCTGAAGGAACCCTCCAGCTTGGTTCCAGTGCAATACATTCTGCTCCAAGCTCACTTTGGCAGAAGAAGTCTGCTTGCGTTGTGCGTTTATCAACATGCTACCACCTGACCTTCACCTGGAATGAGGAACTACATTCCAGTTCAAAGATATAATAAACAAAATCCAGCAGACCGTCTGAAAAGAAGCGAAGGAAGCATGTTGTGGGAATATTTGGAGATTATTTTCTTGTTACTGTTCAACTTCATCATCTACTAAGTTTGGATCCCGGCCACCATCTCTTGGGCCAACAAGAACAGTCTTCAAAGCCAATTAATACCAGTGCACTAAAAGACAGGGCAAGCGAATATTCCCTTCCTTTCAAAACTAGGATGTGTTTATAGATTTCTCTATTCACCAGCACCTCATGGGGCATACTTCGAAACCCTGCTGGTAGGAAAAGAGACGAGGAACATATCCTGCATGAAATTACAAAGCACTAATCAGTATGTCAGCATAAACGAACCAGGACTTCATACCCTTTGCTGTTTACACTCTGTTGGAAAACAGCTCTCAATTAAAGCTAATTGATCAAATGCACTGTACTTTCTTTTCAAGCAATAATACAGGTTTTTGCCTCAGTAACTTCAACAAAGCAACACAGACAAACCTTGATTTGAATTACTGAAAGAGCTTTCATATGTATAAACATTACTACACAAGTTCTTACGTGGGAAGAAAAGAAACCATTCCATTCATTCAGCCATTAACTAAACTACTTCCAACAACTAAAAATTCCCCCAAATCCCAAAATAGATCCACTGCTTTGGAATTGTCTCTATTCAAATGGAAAATCAGTAGGGTGAAGTTCGTCTGGTTTGGTAACATTCTGAAATAAAATCAAGACACGTGGCTTTACCCAGAGTCCTAATCAAAGTGCAAATGTTTTCTGAGGCACCTGTACCTGGGATTTCGGATAAATATGCTAGAGAGACAAAGTTCAAATCTTGATTTCAAAAGGTCTTTAGTAGCCAAGGGCTGTTTCTGAATTGAGGAGTTTTCTTTGAGTCAAGTTCTAATCACACTGAAGCCAAGTTTTAATTTTCATTATACTCTTAGCTTGCCTCTTTTTCTCTCTCCTACCACCCACTCCACTTACAAGTGATCTGGAGCTCTGTTTTGAAGGTGGTAGGAACTGTCTCACATTGGTTGGCGTCTCCTTTTCAATGGAGTGTCGTCTCTGAGGTGGCTGCCGTCTCTCAGGCTGTGGTGTAGATGATATGGGCAAGAACTTTGGAGGCACTAAAGATTCAACCAGTATAAATAAATTAGTTCTTGTAAGACAGACTGTTGGATAACATTGCTCAGTACTTAAACCAGCTACTGATTTGCTAGAATTCCCACTATTGGTGGCTGAAGTTACACATCCATACTCAGAGCATCTTCAAGACAGGTATCACATTCATCACATTTTCGAGACTGAGAGAATAGGAATACACATAAAACTAGCAAATATAGGCACGCTACTGTCCAGTTACCATTGTATATAAATTCAGTGTTTCAGGGTATTGGCTTATTCTACTTATTTCACCATTGTGCACAGAAAATACACGCACAGATTACATGTTTCATTACAAAACCTTTCCAGTTAAACTGAAACACTTTGAAACAAATTAAAAATATTTTTACACATTAAAGCCTACAATAACTGTGCCTGAAAAAAACAGAACACATCCTCCCCTCTTTCCAGTAATTACTTATGAGAAATACTGGTGATTGCTATGTGTCTTTCAAACAAGTACATCCACTGCCATGGTGACAGAGATGCAGGAAACATTTAAATTGGTCTTAGGTTAGAATGTGCTTCTGGAGCAACAAATTCTTTTATGAGATGAGCATAGTAAACTACCCCCCATTCACTTGTGGCCTCCTCTACAGTTCCACATCAACTTCAAGTATAGGACAAGGGGTAACGGCTTTAAACTGAAATAGGGTAGATTTAGATTAGGTGAAAGGAAGTTCTTCACTGTGAGGGTGGTGAGGCGCTGGGACAGGTTGCCCAGAGAGGCTGTGGATGCCCCATCCCTGGAAGCGTTCAAGGCCAGGTTGGATGGGGCTTTGAGCAACCTGTTCTAGTGGAAGGTGTCCCTGCCCATGGCAGGGGGGTTGGAACTAGGTGATCTTTAAGGTCCCTTCCAACCCAAGCCATTCTATGATTCTATTCTATGATTCTATGAAGTATGAAACCTTCTGTTTCACAAAGATACCCACATATAGCGGGGGCTAATGCCTTCCAGTCGTTAATCACATTTGACCTATTCAGCAGGTACTAGGGTTCAGCTTTGGAGATTTATTCCGTTAACAACACTCAGCTTCAGCTTTCTATAAACATTTCAGACAAAGTTCATAGAACAGAAGACAACACAAGTGTGCAAAAGCAGCCACTGGGCTCTCTCATCAAAACTCACTCTTTCTGCTGCTGGTGCCTTCTTGAGAGGGGTCTTCCACTTGTGAGGGGGAGATGCTGCTGCTACTTGCTGATTTGTGCACTGATTCCTCCTGTGTGGGAAGAAGAAAAGAAGCAGAATTCCTCAGGGATTGTTTTTTCATCTCTTACTGCTTCTTAGCACACAGAAATCTCAAACTATCAAAGGTGTTTTGTACCATGCAATCACTCAAAGCCCTAGAAGAAGTCCTGAGAAAAACACTGACTCTACACTGTACTGAGTAAATGGAATTTTCAATGCTCAATTTTTTTTTAGAAACTGGAATATATGGTACATGGTTGGAATTCAGTGTATTTAACTATTGCATGAAAGAACAAGATCAGAGGAGAGGTGCATGAATCCATTGTAGCCTGTTAATTTTCCTTATTGTATTCAAGGACTTCTAAGGATTTGCAGCTACAGCAGATAGGTTAACTCAGCTTTATATCTCACACTAGCAAGGAATCAGCACTTGGATTCCTCTGGTATCCAAAGGAACAAGAGCCACACATACAAGTGACTCAGGTAAAGAGAAATTAATCTGATCTCCACTGCACTGTTCTCTAATCCCTAATCCGGGTGCGTTTCTCCTTTCTTCTGTATTTAAAAGAAATCTCATTCATTGTATAAGCATGTTTCATCACAACAGCCAAGAGCAATTCCTGCAAGATGAATGAAAGTGAAATGGGCTTTGACGAACACCTTTCAGCTGTCTAAAGCATTATGCCACCCAAATTATTAAATCCTTTGCTTTCACCTAAAACCTCTGTCTTCTGCCACCAGGTACCAGCAAGATATAGATCATCACAGAGCCTCCCAAAGGAACAGAGCTGAAGGACTGAGTGTGAATGCTTTTAACCGAGGAGACTTACATCATTTAAGTTGTCAAGATTTACAGATCAAACAAGTGACCAGCTCTAAAACCCAGCAAGTGGCTGAGCTTCTCTCTCACAGATTTCCTTAGTTACAGGAATCGCAAGCGGAAAAAACCTCCACTGGCTCCACTTACCTTCTTTGGTAACAGCAAGTCAGAAAAGAAAAGCTGGCAGGATCACCTCAATGAGCACCATGCATCACAGGAGAGAGGCCTCCACAAATTCCCATCAGGTGATCTGTACTTTATGCTCAGCCCAAGGGTACGCGTTGTATGTGATGACACTGTGATGTATACTGTTCCCATGTATACGCCACAACACACTATTCTGCAAAGGGACTCAAACCAGCTCAGATCCCAAAACAATATATTCACTTTAACATATCAAGTGTGACCCCACAAAACCATTGTGATGGGAAGCTTGTAGGGAAGTTTGAGTGGCACATTTAGCTACATCAGCTGTTTTACTTGCAGAAACCAGTACAGTTTAGCTACAGAGCTAGCTCAGATAACCTTTGCATATCACTGCTTCATGCCACATGGTTGCCTTAACAGACCACTGGAGAACTTGAAAGACAATCGGATGCACTATTCTTTAGAAGGAGTGCAACAGTGTTCACAAGTCTAGAGTTAAACATTTAAGTTTTCTGAAGGAGAATAACCCCGGTACAAAGGGAACTACTAAAATTTTCACTTTGTAGAAGTCAAATTCTTCTGAGTGGAAGATTATTTTCCCATTGCCAGAAAAGCTAACGAGCTAAGGTGAAGAACTAAGCCATCAATTAAAAAAACATAACAATGGTGCTGTGCTGCTCGTTTTTATGAATGAAGAGCAGTCAGGGCTTCAGAGAGGGCTTTTTAAGGAGCCGACGGGGGAACAGCTGTTTCTGGAGCACAATCCCAGCAACCCTTGCTCTAGAGAAGCCTCTTGTTCTGTGGGACCCTACCAAGTCCTGACCAAAAATTGTAAGTGCTACAGTTGTCGGCATCTTATGCTGTAGAGTTTTACAAAAGACTGAATCACGATTCAAGCAACAGTCTATGTGTTTATTTAAATGACTTTCTGTGGGTTTTTTTGTTCTCCTTTTTCTTCCATTTTTCCTGTGTCTGAAAGACTGACACAGAGAGAAGAGAGAGAAAACAAGGTGCACAACTGAAAATACCAAAAGCATATATATATATTTTAATGTAAAACTGTAAATTAGGGATTACAGAAATGTTTCACATGTCCATCTAATTTTTCTAATTGCCACCTTTCAATGGAAAGAAATAGCTATCGATCATTCTTCATGCCACTTCTGAATTTGAGATGGACATGATGTCTTGGTCACATGTTGCAAAACTAGGTAGCACACAGATATCTCCATCTTGCTCCCATTTTTGTGAAAGATTTCTAGTTACTTCATCAGTAATGGATGAACACTGGCTATGCCAGTGGCCTAGGAGTCTCAAAAAAAACAAGAGTGAAAGTAATGGACAAAAATTGAGAGTAAGGGACTTCTCTATGGTAAAGACCTACAAGAAAGATTCCAGGAGCCACACTTCTTATTCTAAAGAATGGGAGGGAATGAAGTGTCAGAGCCAATGGCTAAGTATAAAAAATAGTAAGTATAAACAACCAACCCAGGGAGAATGGAAGCCGGAAGCATGTTAAATTTGACATATCACCCTACTTAGACAACAGGTATTCCTGGTTTGTCATTTCAAATTACTTTTTCTGTGCACAAACACATGCACTGAAAATGCTATTACTGCCCTATGATTTCTCAAACATGGAAAGATTTTTTGAGAATGAAATCTTGTGTAGCAAGTACTGATAAACCATTGTATAAATTTCTTCATATCAATACAATAACTGTTGGCTATTATGGTAGACTATCTGACATTTTACATCTGAGGTTGGATCAATCCAACATCCGGGACTGCACACTTCTCCACAGAGTGCTAAACAATTAGAATTTTACATGTATGGAGAAAGCTGCAGCTTTAAAGGCATCACCTTAAAACATATGAATATGTTACTGACATGATTTCTGTCCAGATAGCTGTAGCTTCATTAGGAAGATACCATTTTTATATCTGTATCAAAAATCACTGTTAGATTGCTACTTCTCTTTGCCACACAAAGCAAAATGGCACTTCCTGCTCCCCCTCTGAAACTGTGATTCTAGTGGTGATGCAGAAAAAAGCAAGGACAGAAAGCAGGAATGGTTTGTACAATATTCATCCTTGCCAGCAAATGGGCATAGGGCTGTACTAGTGGCTGGCAACACTGAGTGTTGGGGCATAGTCTGCATCACAACGCAGCTGAGAGAAGAACAAAGGGGATGCAGGGGGAAGAAAATGCGTCTGCATCATAGCTCATTTGGAGGTCCACAGCTCAGCAGTGCAGATATTTGCAGTCTGTAATTTAGGGCATAACATAGTCATAATTTAACTCCCAGTAACCCTAAATAGGTTAAGCCCAATTCAAATTGCAGGCAAAGAGTTGGCAGAGTCATTTATAGGCAATCAGGACAACACATATGCTCTTCTGTGTGTTATATACAAGGTAAAAGTCATTTTGACAGAACGATCTTCACTTTCTTCAAATGTTCTGTGTCCTACCCTCTTTGTCAGCTTGGAAAATTTCACCCAAACTCCCTTCAGTTTGTTTATTTACACTACTTTAGCACTGTTTCTGAGCCCCAACCAGTATTCTGCTGAGCATCTTAATCGTTTTAATTGCTTCACTAGCTACTTCTGTTGACTCCAACCAGTACAGCATCTGTTCTCTGTGACAGCTCGATGTGGCTGATTTATTTTCAATTTATCTTTTGCTGTATGTTCCAGAGCTTATTCTATATGACTTTGCTTGCCTACACAGTATTCCCGAATCAACAGTCAGACATCTTATTTTTCCCTCCTACAAGGATCACTTCATGTTTGCCTTTACAGAATTTTCTTTTACTGACTTCTGCTCATTTTTCCGTGTGAAATATCATGCTGCATTAGGTTCAGGATGCACAGAGCTACAAGCTGGGAAGCTGTTAAGTTCAAGATCCAACTCTTATTGACAGGTCTTAATATTCCTGCATCCTGCCCAGCTTCATTCATATTAACAAAACCTCATATAGCCTCTATTGTAATTTTAAAGACTGCTGAGAGGTTTCAGAATGCAAATCTCTTCTGCTTTCAGAATAGATGCACCAAATTATGCACCCACACAAGTCACCCATAGGATAGGCCCTAATAACAAAGAGGGCCAACCTTTCACAGATCAAGAAAGTATGCAAAGAGATAAATTTCTCCCCACATATATTTCTCCCCAGCCTCCTATCGTTCAGCTTAGATGCCTTTGTAAGCACCCTGTCAGGAAACCCCTCCTTCCCCATTTACTAGAGAGAAAGAGAGTCAGGGAAGACTGCCTTCCCCAGGCTAAAATTAGCCTCTGTGAATAAACCCTGCCTGCATGTGCTTTCCAGACAGCTTAACTTTCAGAAAGGTTCAAACTCAATTAATAATACTACTGGTCCAGAAGACAAAGCTCATTCTTGAGGATGTAATGTCGGCCCTTCTTGAGGGTCATATATAATGCAGCTTTTAAGCTAGAGAACTTTTTTAAGCTTTTGCCTTTTCTATGCTTTTTTAAATCTTTAACTCTCCATTTGAGAGAGGATGGATTCAAAGTTGTTTCTCCATCTAAGTGGTATTTGCTTGTCCCTATCTGTGAAACATTTGTTGGGTGTTACTTCCCAAGCCTATATAGCAAACTAACGCACTGACATTTGCACCAAACTGCAAGCCCTCTGGCACAGCTGATGCTCTTTATTTAACAGCTGGTACGGTAAGGCTGGCCTCACATCTGAGTCCTTTAGTGACAGCTCCTGCATGGGTGCCAGAAGGGTGCAACACATTTGACTGCATTCCCAAAAGCATAATTGCTACATCTACACTGTGGACAGATACAGGGCATTTAGAAAAATAAGTAAATACTGGGTTTAAGGCCAAAATTAGCATTTAACGTTTTAAAAGAATCTTCTCATTTTTGAGGTCTGATCTAATATTTTTGAAGTTCTGTGGGCTGACAAAGCAGTCATGGAAAATTCAGATGATAAACTGCAAAGTCACTTCTCAGCTGATCAGTTCAGCAAATTAAGGAGCAAGACTCAATTCTGACAAATCGAGAAGCAAGTTGTGACTTAATTTTTTACCTCTGAATCTGAGCTGTCAAGTTCAGCCAACGTGGGAGCCTTAAGGAGTCTCTTGCGTTGTACTGTCACTTGTGTGGCCCCATTCTGCTTTCCTTGTGGTGCCAGGCCACCATTCACTACAGAGGCATCCACTAATTTTCTTCCAGCCTCTGGCGTAGATACATCTAGCAAAAGAAACAGAACAATTGGTATTTGAACCTAATTTGTATTTTGCCTTCTCAAATCTTACTGTCAAGGCAACATACACAAAAAGAAAAAAGTCATTGTGATAGTAATATGTGTGCAATTATTTTACGTTAGCAATACATTGCTCAGAGAACTACAGGCAATGGCTTGTGGTATAGAAGCAATATGAAAGAATGAAAGCAGTGGAAAAAGCAGCAGTGCACAATACTGAAAAACCAACCTCAGACCAACACCAATCAACTTAAAAAAAAAAATCCTGTGTTAAACCCAAAAATATTCTTCCTTCAACTTATAGTCTATAACTAACTATATAACAAGTATCAGAAGAATGCACAACCATATCTGGACAAGTGGGTTTCCAGTGAATCTGAAGGCAACGCCTCACAGAAATTAGGAGGTTTAGCATGGAGTAAACCTAGTTTTTCCTGTGAGGACAGAATTACGTTTAATTCTGCAGTATACAGAAAAGGAATGAAAATGAGCTAAGTAACTAGCATTCATCAAAAATATGCACAATTCTTAGGCTTGCATGGTCATTTGTATTAAAAATATGTCTGTGATGTCAAATCTTCATGTAACAGCAGAAACATGAGGCTCCAGCTCTATCTTCATCTACATGAGTTTTACAAGGATGTAACTCCACTGAGTAAATTACTCGGGATTTCTGCCAGTGTGCAATGAAGATGCATCTCGGATAACGTTAAGCATTGGGTCTGCTGTGCTTAGCCTAGCTTAGCTTAGACATTAAGATAATGACCTAGGCTTTGATATTTTAAGGGAGCTTAGAGTTTGGTCTAATAAATCAGTTTTATCCCTGTAAAAGTACAAAGTGCAGTATTCCAACTTGAAGAAAATTATGTCGGAGGGAGAAGGAAGAGAAGCTTTTAATCTCCCATTTGCATGTATGCCTAAGCATCTGGTCTTTCTACAAATGTGTTTTTCTACCCATATAATTATAGGACTCCTTCTCCAGCCTTGTAATAACAAGGTACCTCCAGGTATTTTAAGGCTAGGGTAATGACAAGTTATTACTCCCATTTTTATATATGGTGAAAAGAGGCACAGAAGGTCAAATGACTTGTACCTTAGGTTACTGGGAGGACTATGACAGAGAAATGATATCACCCAAATATTCCCAGTGCCAGCAATCCAAGTACTCATCGTTCAGAGTTACTTACATAGTTGCCCTGGTATAAACAGACACAGTCACTGCTGCTACAACACAGTTTGCATTGATAAAGGCTGTTCTTGCACTAGGTAAATTAAAACTACACAGTCTAGATAAAGCCTCAGTTGCAGTAGTAGTTCTGGTTTACAACATTCTCACTGGAGCAGCTATTGAAAAGGAGTAAGAAGAGGAATAAGTTAAATAAGTTTAAAGAATTAATTAGGTTATTGTTAAATGCTGGAAACTGAGCTAGAAAGGACAGGGGATGTATTACAGTTCCTCTATAAATCATACCTTCAACTGGGAGTATAAGAAAAGGTGATTATTTGGACTATTAAAGTCATGGTGACATTCCAAGCCTATGAATGTGTGTACTACAGTGTTATTACTGCCTTCAGGTCCTCCCTACAAAGAGTTGCAATCAAAGACTTAGACTCTCTAACCCTTAGTTCCTATCTTCAAAGGCTTTGCTAATGGGTGTCCTGACTAGCACTGTGGCTTATAGGTCATGGGTTTTTTTTCCTCCTAGATTTCTGCGAGTACAGCATGGGCGTCCTCCACATCAAATGCATTCCTGCTCTAACAGCCGCTCAACACAATCCCAGAAAGCGACAGCAGGAAAACAAAAATTGAACTGCCTCACCTCCCTGCTGCCAATACCATTTCTTGAGACCTCATAATTAGCTGGCATGCAGTTGATTGAAGAAGCTCAGTTTCCCAAATGAGGAAGAGAAAAACCTTTGATTTCTTTTGATTGCACAGGGCAGTTCCTGAACAGACCATCCTATGAAGCACCCCCAGCACCACCAACACAAGGTGTCCCTTCTCCCAAAAACTTCCTGGGTGGTGACTCCCCTGCCTGAGGGTGAAGAATGGCCTGTAAGTACTGTTGGAATCAGTGGGAGAATAAATGATGGGAAGGCCAACAGTATTGCTCTCCCTCCAAAAAAAATAAACACATGATAAGTCTGGGGAAAGGAAAGAGGAGGGAACATCCACCAGACATCCCCTAGCACTATGGGAGGTGATGCAATGGATATCCAGGGTACAGCATAAATTGTTTTCTGTTGGGGTTTTTTTTGTTGGTTTTGTTGTTGTTGTTTGTTTAGGGTTTGTTTTGTTTTGTTTTCTAAGAATTTAGGCCCAATTTCTTTAGGCCCCAGAAATGGAAATTTCTGATCCATTTTGGAGGTAATTTATGTAGCCAATCACTATCTACAAAGCCTAAACCAGTTGTTATTTAAATTCACACATGTATGAGTTGTTCATACATACTGTTGAGTTGTTCATATGTTGGTTTATAAGTCTTCTTGAAATACCGGAGAAGTTTTAGGTAAATCAAGAAGACAATCCAACACTGTATTTGTTTTGAAGGGCTCTTCAGTAGGAAATATCATTTATCACCATTCTTTCCTCCAAAGAAAAAAAAAGGGTTTTTTTTACAACTTGCAAGCACTAAAGAATAAAAAAAAAAACAAACCAAAAAGGGAAAAAACAGAAAACCATCCAATTTATAAAATCCGTTTTGTTAACAGTGCTCAAGTTCAGTTTATCATTCCTGCACTTACAGTACTGGATATACATGAATAAATGGATTCTCATAATTTAAGGAAAAGATAATGAAATTTTACAGTTTCAGCAAACAGATTTCAACAAAAGTAACTTGTTCCAAAACTAAAACCAGAATTTGTTAGCAAATACAGACCAAAAAATTATTATTTTGTTTAAGCTATTTTAGCGATGTACTCAGGCAACAGAAACATTACTGGGTGGCAAATAATCATACATCATCATAAACAAGATAAAATTAATCAGAATAAACAAGTCAGAAACAATGCTAATGCTTACAAAAATGAATATGAGAGAAGAAATTCATGGACAATTCTCTGAAACAAAAACCTAATTTTTAAATTTTTTTTTAATGGATGGTAGTTCACAATCACTAGTTTCATAGAACATCTAAATGTTTTGAAGATTATTCAAATGATATTAAAAAAAGGCTTGTGTGAGTAACAGCCTGGGGTTAAGATTTTATTAGAGAGTCAGACACACTGGGAGAGTGTCATTTCTCCGTGTTTTCAGGCAGCAAGTACAATGAGCAGTATCTGCAAATTGGATTAATATGTTTGGTTTCTTTTGAGTTTCTTCTAAGCTATCATTACAACAGGCAAATGAAAGAAGAGAAAGTCTTGATTTGTTACTCGATCTTTGTGTTCACCTTCCCTGACTAGCCTTAAGAAGGGGAGACAAAAAAACCCCACCCTAGGATAATATGAAATGTGCCTTTATTTACATGTAAGATTACATCTCTTACGAAACAAGGAATTAAGCAGACCACAGATTACATGCAAACCACAGCAGTCATGTAACCATATGCTCTCTGCCTCCTAACCAGCTCTCCTTGGCAAATAACGACAACAGAAACCTGAATTTTGTTCTATACAGCAAATCTACTCCTCCACCTTACCATTTTTTACACTGAGTTTAAAAGACGGCTAAAATAGATTTGCAGAATTAATACAGGTTTGCTTTTTGCTAGTTATGATGATGATAATATACTGGGAAAGATTATATAATGAACAATGGTAACAGACATCTGCTGTTCCTTTCAATGGACTTAGATGTTGAAGTCAAACCTGAGAACTAATAAACCAGTATACCAAGCTGCCAGCCTTTTGCTGGTGTTTGCATCACATTTATTATTGTGTTATCTAAATTAAGAGATTACCAGGACCTGTTGGAGTTCCTTCCTCACGCTGGTCTAAGGCACAGATCACGTAAAGCCAACAGCGATACACACCACCTCACAGAGTTGGGAACAACAGGAATAATCCCTGTGAAATTTGGGTTTAAATGTTTCAGTTTCCCTTTTTTTCTCTCCCTGAACCCCCGCTGCCCCCAAAACGTACAAACTGTTTCTGAAGTAACAACTCCAAGGCAGCCACGCATACAGCTTTGAGGGAAGAATTTGAGTGTTAAGAGTGGGAATGACTGATCTTTTGAGCTGCATTCAACACAGTGCATGGAAATTAGTCTGCTTTTAAGCTATTTTTTTATTAGAGGAAGTAGGCAATGACTGCCGTGGTCCCTAGTCAATACCTGAGTACCTCTCGGATTACTCTCACTGCAGGTGGATACTACTTGCTCCTTCTATTCTACCAGTAGGAAAGAACAGTGTAAAAGGAGGTCCCAGGCACCCCTCCTCTCCTCTTCAGGACAACAGCAGGCAGTGTGGTGCCAGGCAGTGTGACCTACCAACTACACCAGCTCGGTGCCAGCAAAAGTCTTCTCAGAATTGGTCTGCATCATCCCAGTCGCAGACAGCAAGCATAATATAAGCCTGCACCTGTCATTTAGCACTTAGCAGGAAACACTTCTGTTCTTCTGCTGGTTTGTGTTTTTCCATGACAGCAATTCCATCAAGCAGAGAGCAATGAAAGCAGTGAAAAAGCGAGTATGTGGAAACAGTGATGAAAGCACAGTATAGCTTCCCCGCCTCCAAAATAATGAAAAAAGTGAAAGCACGCAAAGCAACAACATTCAAAACTACCACTTACTATCAACATCCCAACCCATCTAATTCATCTGTACTGCTCATCTGGTGTCTCACATCTACCTAACTGGAATGTTTTAATCATCCTGAATTTACTTCTAAAGACAATTTATCAGATCACTTAGTCATGCCATATGATACTACTTGCTGAGAACCACATGACTTGAAAAACAAAACCAATCACATTTGGAAGATGGATAAAGAAAACAGGAAGAGTTCTTCGGTGGTCAGTCAAAAAGAGCAAATCCAAGTACAGTACAGATTGCTATAAAGCTACTTCTTTAAAATAAAAATACTATGGTAATGAATTAATGGGTTATGAAGGGAGCTTTTATAAAATATTGTTTGGATTTAAACAAATGAGGATGTCTCAGGATTCTCAGAAATAAAAGGCAAAAGAAGAAGCAGACAGACACATGTAGAAGGACAGATCTGAACATTTCCCTTTTGCTGGTCACTGGCACACTCAGTTTCCTAGTCTTAAAACTGAAGGAACTTTTGGCATATCTGAAAGTAGCAATACTTTCTGAAAACTGAAGTTTGCCTGTTTATGCTATTACCTGAAGCCCTGGGGACCCTTCAGCTTTCAATGGAGTAAAACATGATACCAAGTACCTATATAATTTGAATCCCACCAGACTACTGTAGTAGCTGTACAATACGCCATGAGTGTAAGGTTTCACAAAAGGGCTTGAGCTGGACTAACTGCTTGCCACCACCTCTGACTGGTTCCTTCCCATCCACCCATGCTCATCACCTGCCCTCAGCCAGCTCTTTGATCATCTCATCAGACAGTAAGCAGGTTTAAATCACTAAAAGAGCAGAAAACCAACCTGGTAAAAAAATAAAAGTATTTGTTCCTGGGTTACATGAGTTACCAGGTCATCTTGTGAATAAGTGAGCAGGACTGGCACAGAGCAGGAGGGGAATGACACGCTTAGAGGGGAGCTTGGGGAGGAAGGGGAGCAGCTAGAGACCCTCCTCGCCTCTTGACTGCAGCAAGCTGTTTGTTTGGCTCAGCCAGAACATGAAGCCACGTTCACAGACAGGCCACTTGTGAACTTCACTGGCATACTAGAAAACTATTGCATTTTTTATATTATGGTAATCAAAAAACTTCTATATGGTCTTTCTAGTTCACAATATGCTTGCATTTCAGTCAGATTATGCCTTTCTATGGGGAAAATAACCACATGGAGAAACAGAGGGTGAAACTCTGCAAAGTCCCAGATGAGATGTCTCTATGTGCAACTGGAAGGGGGGGGAGGTACAGCTGCTGTTGCTTCTTCACAAAATGAGAGCATGGATTTATTGGGAAACTGTTTTTCTCAGGAGTCACCTAGGGGAAATTAGGTAAGAGCTAGCATAAGAGCGCTCCTCAGCGGACAAACCTTTATGTAGAATATTTCCAACCTCAATGATGGGAGTCTTTGAGCCTGAGCATCCTGGAAAGTTAGTGTACAATGAGGGAGGAATGAATTTATTTTCTGGCTAGTAGGCACAAACTCTCTCTAATGTTGCTGTCTCTGATGTAGAACATATTCATATAGTTACTGCATGTCCTAACTAATGGCCCACCAAGAGGAAACTTTAAATTTGATATTAGATAGTTGATGAAAGATCAGCTATCGAATCCTCTGTATCAATCCTCAGCAAACCGTAGCAACTTACTTTGCTAACCAGTGAAGAAGGAAGGTTTAGCCTCTTTTGAATGAACGTCTTTGATTTCACGACTCACAAAGCATTTACTATAAAGACACTCAGTAGAACTGACAGTTCCTTTCTAGATTAGTATCCATGAGTGTATTTCATTAAATCTAGAAAGGTAGATGAGTTCAAAACTAGTTTTTGGATCCTTGTGAGAAATGAAGTACTGCAAAAGATGGTCTAGTCAAAAAGCGAGTGGAAAGACACAAAGGTCAGATTAATAAATAAGTAAATCAGACTTGAAGGTAATACTGTATTCTGCAATCCTTTCTAGAGTTTGGAATAGCTCTGGGCCACCTTATTTTGGTTATTTATTTAAACAGAATTTCAGCACTCCATTTCAGGTGAAATACAGTTGTTTCCTATACCTAGGCATCCTTTTGTGGCAAGGGAAATGTAGGTAATAATAAAAAAATTATTTTAATTTTTATTTTCACTGACCATATCTTGGAAGAATCCCTTCAAGTTTCTTTCTTAAATGGGAATTCAACAAACAGATGGAACAAATTTCACAATAAGCACAATAACCACGTCAGGTGTTGTTGCGCCTTTTACCTGACAAGTCAAAACTGTAAGACATGCTAAGTGGCCGCATTGCTGTAAAAAAGAAACAAAAACAACAAAAAGAAAACGATTCAGCTATTAGAAAAGCAGAGGGGTAATGAAAACAAAAGATTAACTCCACTTGAGACATTTTGGATTCTGTTGCCTAAATCCAAAATGTGTCAGACATGCTATTGCTTTACTGTAGTAAAGCTCAAAGTCTGAAAACTACAGTAGCATAAATGGGACTTGTAAACAGAGCAATTATAAACATATTTGTATAGTTGTAGAATGAGATTTTTTGGAATTCCATAAATCAAATATCAAAACAAGAGACAAGTATCTTAAAAATGGAATATTTTCAATTAAAATGCCAGGAAAGAGAGAAAGGGGAGAGGGAAAAGAGACAGAGAGAGAGAAGGAAAGAGCTGACAAAAATTTGAAAGTACAAAGCCACATTTCACACAAGTTTCAGTGACCTGAAATAAAGATATTTCTAATTTTTTTAAGCATAATCTCCAATGATTATAATTAAACTAATAAAGAGAGACACCCGAGCTAAGCTTGAGCAGTAGTTTCCTTGAAGAGGATGGAAACAAAGGCCGAACACAGTGTGATTTGTGCTGATTGCTGTTCTGTTTAAAAACCTTAGGTGGACTTAGCCTTTAAAATGTATCCATAATATTATCCTCTTCTTTCTGGGCCTCTAACCATTTTATTCCTAGATAAGAAAGTGGTCAGATGTTCTTTATTTCTGGAAAGACCTATCTGTATTTCCAATTAAACAATGTAATTCAGGGAGCAGACACTCAAAATATTTCTCAACTGAAAAGAAAATTTCAGTGCACTAATCCAAATAAGCAAGCCAAGCCCAGCAACAAGAATGTACAAGAAGGCATCAAAACTGACATCAGTTTATCTGTTTTACTTGACAGGTGATAAACATGCAAGTTCGTATGAAAGGCCCTGTCAGCCACACATACCACTGCATTAACAGATGTTTAAAAAAAGTTTGTTCTGGGACAAGTTTTGCTCAGAAGAATAAATCTACGTGGTGAATGCAGCAGGTGGCTGACTCAGATCCAAATTTGGGAGTCAGGGCTTTTTTCCTGTAGTTCCTTAACTAGACAACATCAGCCACAGAAACAGTATCTAAATCCCTGTGCAAATGTAGCATAAAGGCAAATACATTTTAAGGCATAAGGGTGTTTATCACCTAATGTTAAGTCCTCACTGAAGGTTGATAAAACATGTACATGAAACAAAGTTTTCTCCAAGCTCCATGAGCTCAACTTGCTTGAGTTACAAATCCATGCTTTTAGTTAAAAGGACATGTACCTCAAGGCTGTGTTTGTCTCCGTAGCTTACTCTGATGATTTTATGAGGTCATTTGAAAGCGCACTCCAATTCCTCTATTCAAACCTCTCCCCTTGTAAGAACAGCTACCAAGACTAAATTACCCTTTCCAAAGAAGTTTTAGATTGAGAGCAGCCAGCCAGAGGCTGGCTTTTCTCAGTGGCAGCTCAGGGTAGAGAAGATCTTACCTGTACACGTGTTGTGCAGACCAGAGAGACAAAGCCTGGGGCTGCTGGGAAACACATGCCATAGATCCACGCATATCGCAGAGGAGGAACTGCAAGAGTACAGCCCCCTCACCCCAGTAGTCAAGTGTAGTTGTGCTCTTGACTGCTATAAACTGAGCAACAACGAATAACTCTGGGATATGTGCAACGTACCTTATACTCCCAAATATTTCACTCGTTCTTTTTTCCCCTCCTTTTTAATAGCAACAAATATTTCTGTCCAGATGGTTCAAGTGTCCCACATGGTGTTTCTACTTAGATTTATAATCCTTAAACCTCATTATCTTACATGTTGTTACACTAAATTACATTCAGTGGTCATCTAAACTATATGGCAGATCTATTTGTACCATACTGAATGTCACTAGCATTACTCCATTCCCAATTCTGCGCAAACGCATTTTATTCTAAAAGAAACTTTGGACATAGCAATCATTTCAATGTGAGAAAGAATAAAACCTCGTATTTCAACATAAGAAAAAATTATCTTCAAGGCCTTTGCTCCTTTTTCTTCTTCATGCCAGCAGCAAATAAACATTTGGGAAATAAAACTTGCATGCATCCCCTTTCACACCTCCAGTAATATGGCATTTAATCCAAATGATTCACTGGACTGAAGGGGAATTACCACAGTTCCAAAACTCAAAATTTTAATTCTTTAACAGAAAATGAAGAATTGGTGGAAGACAGGTATCCCTCATTGGAGGCCATGCCCTGAAATCAGCCCAGGAAGTCCTAACCAGTAATACTCCAAAATTTAACATTGTTTTTAGAAACTGTTTGCTAAATGGGTTTGATGTCATTTATATAATTCAGAAATTTTGAAGATCTATTAGACCAAATTTGCTGCCCCTGAGAGGACATGACAGTTCCCAGATGGAGAACATTTAAAATACTGACACTGAATGTCTGAAAGAAAAGTAAGGAATTGTTCCACATTTTTACAAGCTTCCCACATTTGGAAAAATGTCTAGGCTTATTAGAAACATTAACTGATATAGCAAGCATAAACTGAATCCAAACCAGAAACTGGAAGGCCCAAAGAAACAATATTCAAAACACCATGCTTTTAAAAATGCACCCAAGCATTCACCAAACTCTACCGAGCAGTTCAAAAACAATGCAACAAAGCAAGACTGATGAAATTGTTTTTCTCTGGAGACAATGGGTTGTCACAACCCACTTGAATCTGGACCAGTGCCTTTAAGCACACGTGGCAAGTACAAATATTTTACAAAAAGCAGAGACAGGGAGTACATACATGGATTATTTCATGCTTTTCAGCCATCAGATGCCACTTTTGCTCTTCAAAACTCCAACTGGCTCAGGTTTTGTGATAAAATTAAATACCATGCTCTTAAAGAAATGCAAGTCACAATGTAAGACTGTATTTGTCATGCTTTTGTCATCAGAACCTTGAACTAATGCAAATTAGTGATTGTTGGAAAGCATAGTATTTGTATAATTTCATAGTGGGTTGTTGAATATACACAGCAGAAATGAAATGCTTTCCAGTGCAAGTCTGAATTATTTGCCCACTGAAAATATATACAAACACATGTTCCATAACTTACAAAATGAAGCAAAGATTTACATTCAAAATAAAAACAATAGATCCAGCAAACAAAATAAAAGCAGTTTTTAAATTAAAATAAGGAAGTTGATGATGCTAGCAACAGGAAACAAAGAGAATAAAATTAATTAAAAACAGACATGTAAAGAATACTTGCAGATATGTAAGGAATATTGCACTGGGGAGAAGAAATACCCATTCCATTCTGAGCAAATCTAACATTAACTGTCATGTGCAACAAGCCATATAATACCATTAAATTTATCTAATACTTACATTAAAAACTTGAAGGGAATCAAGCTGAACCATACAGTATCTTATTTTTAAATATAACTTAGCACAAAGATTGCATAGCCCTAGCAAAGCCTGTAGGTTCTTTCTTTTTCTGAAGGGATGAGAATAATTTTATCTTCCATGACAACTGCACAGGCATCGCTAATATTGCTGCTTCTTATGTGGGAAGTTTTCTGTGGATGCTGCAGGTAAAAACTAGCAACGTGCTTACCCAGCCTGCTACGCCTTATCTCATCAGGTGAGACTGGACGTAACTTCCTCTCTGCCTTGATTTCCTCCAGTATCCTTTCATGAAGGCTGCGTGGCCGTGGTGGGGTTGGTTTCAGTTTTCTTGCCGAGGCCTTAGGACATAAAGATAATCATATTTACATAAAACAGTGCTTCCTTGAAAGTAGATTTCACACTTTTTTGGAAAAAAATGTGGAATGTTGTGATATGATTTTACATGCACTCAATTGTAAAACTCATGTAAATTGGAAAGAGGATTGTATTTTTCCCCAATTCATCATGATTTCCCAGAGATAAAGGGCTGCTGGTAATAACAGCTATTAATTGGTAGGTGCAAGATACTACACAGTTCTTTTAAGAGATCACTTTATATACAGAAGACAAGATTTTTGAAAGCCCATGTCAGAAAACATAATATTTAACATATTCCCTGGACACAAACATGCTTTAAAAAGCCACATTTCTATTAGGAATGAAGCCCACTGGATTACATACAGGATTTAATGGAGGTCGCGATCGGATGAAATCCAGGATTATTTCATGGGCACTCTTTTTTAATCGAGGTGGAATGTCACCGTTGACCTGGAAAGGAGAAAGTGAAATATGTATTTCCATGTTTTGCATTCATATTCATGCAGATGATGAGATCAATTGAAAACTCACAACAACCTTGACAGAGCTTGAAGTGTTCTGACACCTGCACCAGATGTAAAACCCCACCAGTCCTGAGCAGAGCAACAATCCATATGCAGAGGACAGGCAAGCAAATATGTAGATAACAGCTTTTCAGCTTTGCAGATAGCTGCAGAATAACCACAGCTGCAGCAGCTTTAATCAGCAATACGTAGGATTTTGAAATGATGAAATCAAATGTCAAGGCTGCAATTGTGTCTATGGGAGAATGCAGACAAAGACTGGATCATGCTTGGAGGAAAAGTTGCCAACACCATTTTTAAGAACACCAATTTGAACCATATCTCACTGCCAACCATTACACAGTCTCTAACACTCTGTTCTTAGCCTCTGAGAAAACATGGATGCTCTTTAAGGCCCCAGTTTTCTTGATCTCCTTACCATCTCCCAAGCACTGATGTGAAAGCAAAGCTAGATCTGGCACATTCACCAATGACTTGCTTGTAGCGATGGATGAAAAATATGTTCCCCTTGGTTTTTTGTCTTTACCAACTGTCTCTGCTGCTCTGGCCATGCAGAGGTGCCCTTGTGTGTAAATGCCAGCAGAAGGAGAGGGAAGCCCTGAGCATGATTTCATAGCTACCCCTTCACATGCACTTTAAAGATTACTCAAGTGTAAAATGAAGTTTGTTAATATGTCTAGAAAGTAAATCACTAGAATGCCATGGCATGCCATTGGAAGTATAGGAAGTGTATTTCCTCACTGTAAATCATATAGTTCTGTAGAAAAGGGGCTGGGTGAAGGTTGTTTGCTTGTTTGGTTGGTTTTCTCCAGAGAGACAGACATTTCTTCCTCTGATACCTCATTTAGACATAAGATTGCATACAAGACATCACAGGAAAGAGTCAGCAATTCACTGTATGTACAGGATATAAAAGAAGGCAACAGAAGTTTTCCTATCATATGAAGAATTTATAAATTGTAAGCTGGGAATTAGTGTATGGATTTGCTTAAAAAAATCCACCTGTCAGGTTCAGTCTTCATACAGCACAGTGCTCAAGCACACTGTCAGGGACGAGAGAGCATCCTATGCCATACAACCTTCTGGTACCTTCTATCACTATACAGTAGCTGGCTATCAGTCCTGTCCTCCAATTTGACAGAAATTCCTATGACACTATATTTCTTAGACCAAATGTCCCAAATTTCAGCACTTTTTTTTTTTTCTTTTTTCTTTTTTAAGGGTTGGTTTGCTCATCATTCTTTGGGAGACTCTATTCATACAATCTCTGTAGCCAGAAAATGTATGTAAAGACACAGCTCTGGTTTGTCAAATCCCATGCGCTTTTGCTAACCAGAAGGAATGCTGCAGTCAGAAAAATGAGTTTAAATGCCCATAAGGTCACCTCAATATGATGCCTAATTGAACTGCAGCAACGCCATGCAGCTTCCGTATAAGCTCTGCTCACCTCAGACATGCCCTCTTTCCAGGCTGAGGCAGAGACACAGCCTCCCAGAGAAAATTCATCCCTTCCCGGTAAGGAAGCAGCTGCAGAGGCCCTCTTGGGAAACATTTCATTGCTTTCCTGGGGTCTCTTTCTGGAGGTATCCTACCCCAGACATGGTCCACATTCCATTTGTTCAACCCCTCACCTCCTTAGCTTCCTTAGAGCGAATTTCTTACAGCTTGGCATGGAATACCAAGCTGCTAAACTCTGCAACATGCATCACCTTCCTAAAAGTAGTGCAAAAAAATTAAAATTGAAAAGGTTTATATTAAATGGTGATTTGACATTCTATGATGAGGAGAATATTATTTTAAGTGGTGTGATTAATTCCTTCTGTTTAAAGACTGAGCAATTTTTTGAGGCCATCATGCTTTGTGGGATTATTAATGAAATGAGAAGTATCTCTTCCCCAGGTTACTGTTCATCAGATGTCAAAGTTGATAGCTGAAGTTGAGAGTTATTACCATGAGAACAGCCATTTTGTAAACTGATAATCTCCACTGCAGCCTTGGGGAACAACCCTCTGGCATGACAATAGGAAATAAATAATACATGGCTCTGAGCCTTTCACCTCAGGGCACTCTATGCCCTGACTTAATGCCACCAGGGTATAATTAGTATCAGTATTCCCATTTGATGGGAAAAGGAGAAATATAAGATTTGCTTAACTGATTTTCCATAGGATACACAGGGAGCTGGTGGCAAAGCAAGTGGATGCTTTGCAGACAAGAAGCCAAGAGCAGGAGCACCAGTGGCAGAACCTGCCTTCTAATACTTGGTGCCCAAACCAGATGCTGCCAGGAAAGTCACTGAAGGGAAGCTTTTATCCTCTCTGTCCACACTAGATCTATTGCTTTACTCAAACTAACTCTCTCTGTAATGAGCAATTTCACATGCATCTTTTACATCTTTTACTTTTAATTAATTAAAATTCATGGCTCTTGATTAAAGTCTAAATTGGAGATATATTGTACAGATGCAGCCACGATACATGCAGGGGAAAAAAAACAACCAACACATACCAGATTGGCCCCAACGGCAAACTAGTATTTAAGTAAATACCTCAAAACACTGTAAAACTATCCTAAGTCTTCATGTGTATAAAATGGTTTTTGTACAGCAGTGTGCATTGAAACAGGCAGTGTGGGGAAAGCATAACCAATAGTTATAAAAATCAACCAGAAATTTAGAGATCTAAACAGCAAAAGCACAGAAAAATTACCATGTAATCATCTACTCACTCACAACCTGCCTCGGTCACATTTTAATATACAAATATGGATTTGCAGTTTAAAAAACATAGCTGGAAATGGTACTTAGTAACCTTTGGCTGAAACCTGAGCTTTAAAAATGGTGATCCCAAGCAAGAAGTGCATTGCATGTAACTTTCACAAAAACTACATCACCTACCATTGACATTCAATTATCTCAGCCATTTATTTATCTCACTATAAAAGGTGACAGCATTAATTAGGAGAGTGCTATCTCTAAATCATAGGCAACAAGGCAACATGAAACTGATACTGTTTGTACGATCTAGAAATTCTTATTTAAAATGAGATTGCATGGACACTGAAACAGAGGGGGCATGCTACATCATTTCCAGAACAGCTCATGATAAAGTTCTGTTGTGAATTAAAGTATTATAAGTAGATATATATTTGCCATCTTTCATTATGCAGACAGTATAGTGCTTTTGTTAACATAGCTGTTACACAGTCTGTATTTGACACCACACAGCAAGCTCAAGCAGCAGTGTCCAAGAATGAAGTGCTTTGGTACTTCACATCGTATGCCACTGTATTCACCCCGCTGTTCCTGCACATCTATTATAGATACAAGTTTATGATACCATATGATAACCATAGTACTTACACAAAGTCACTCCTTCTTTGAATACCCCTAAAGTATGATTAGGAACTGTAAAGCTCACTGCTCTACCTAGGATCACTCCTAAACTTCTGCAGAAACAGGTGACGAAGGCAGAAAATGAAAAAGGCTAGTTCCCTGCTTAAAGCAGCTGAATACCACTCAGTAAAACTAAGTCAGACCTGTGCATAAGAGAACAACAGACTCTACCATGCCCAGCTGGACAAACTGGTCAAAGTTTTTTCCTCATGTTCTCTACGTCCAGCTTGAAACATCTGAAAACTCACTTACGAAAATACTGTCCATGCACAGCTGTTATTGCAATTAATGTAAGTACTGTAAGATGCTAAATACTGAAAAGAAATAAATAATTTTTGTTAAAAATACCTGAACAACCACGCCACAGGATTCTCAGATTAGACATTCAAATTACTGGATATTTTTGGAAATAGTCGCTTCAACCTATATGCCTCAATTCCCCTTGGCCAAGCTAATAGCACTGCATCACAGGTATTTGTGAAGAGCTCGGATACGAAGACAAGAGCACTGTTACCTATGAAGAATTTAACTGTTAATGCAATGTAATGCCAAGTGGATACTACATAAAAGGTACTTGACAGCCATGCACTGAATAAGTAACATAAGACTTATCAGCTACTGTTCAATAAGTACTGATCAAGAAATATAGTGAATGTTGCACATCTTGTGGGGGAAGGTGGGCAGGAAAGAGAGCTAACTGTGAATCAAGGTGGAATTAAAAGCTGTAGCTTAACACATATGTATACTAAAGAAAAATTAACCCTGTAAGAGTAATTTAATTCTTAAATTTCCTGTTTCCAAGTGTTGACTCTACCAATATTCACAATTTTTAACTTTTTGAGAGTGAGTGCTCCATAGGAGAAAAATGCTATTAAATCTCTCCAGGTAGACATTTAGATTATAAAATGCCAGAATGAAAGTTACCTCGTTCCCGTAACAACCACAGAAACAAGGACTCTTGCACTGGGATAGAGAGATGACAAATCTGAAATTATTTTCGTATGTACTGAAATAGAAATGCCAACGTCACCGAAACTAATGAAACCAGATATTTACAAAAAGCTCAGAATTTGACATTTTACATCTTCAAAACATTTTGAATATTTGCACTATGACAGAAGATGAGCGAGAACAGACAGCTCCAGTTATTGGCATCTGCTAACACTTTTGATAGTCTGAAACACCAAAGTAGTTCCTAAGTAATGCACCTAATAGGAGTATCTGTTCCTTTCCTAATTTCTACTCAGAGTACTGAGCAGTCAGGGACAGATCAAGCTACTCTTTTAAACATAGCATTATATTAATAAAAAGAACAGTAAAGACTTCATGTTGCATGTCATTTACTTAAAAAATTTACTTAACCTCTTGTTATCATTAGTAGCATATGCATTTTCACAAGCTACTAAGTCTAAAAATACTACCTATAAATTTAAAGCAAAAATTGCTTTTAATAAAAATTTTGCCATACATCCATTTTGACTGAAAGAAACAAACATAATCCATCTTTTCCAGGCTGCCTTAAATCTCAGGTTTAGGATTCTTGTTCTTTTCTCCTCTTCTCAAGAACTACGACAGTTTTCTCTGATGGGAGTATGTATAATCAACTTGGACCCATGAGAGTCAGCTAAAAGATGCTGTATTTATGCGATCTAACTAAACTTGTAATTCAATGTGAATCCTTCAGGCTCCACACATTTCATGTCAAGCTGCACTCTTATTACTGTGCATACTTTGCACATTCTTCAAGCAGACCCTGCAGCAGAGTCCAAGTTACTGAATTTAAGGCATCTAATAAGAAAGAAGTTCTTTTTCTAACACAATATCATTAGCAGTTGTCAGACTAAGCCAGCAATTACATCACAGACAGCCCTACAGGTTGTGTACCTGCAGCTGATTGTAATCCCAATGCATGTTTATGCCCAGAGGTCACTTTGGACAATCTACCTAGTAGACAAGATAGCAAGACAAAAATAGATACTCGCAGGGATTTTGTATACAGTGAGAGCCTGGATGAGCAGAGAAGCAGCTGTGCCTCCAAGACCTACCATATAATGAAGAAAATCTCTTCTGAAGAGGCAGGAGCTTGTTCAGGAGAAGGTGAATTAAAGGCTAGTCTGACAAAAGCAAAATTAGATGACCCAGGGGTTCCCATTCAAACAAAACTACTATCCTGATTGCATACAGTAATCAAGGTCCTGAGGGGACTGTTCCTCTTTTGCAGCGGGTAGTAGGAACACTTAGCACAGGTCTCTGAATTGTTAGCAGAAAGACAGATAACATCATTACCTGGGTATGTATTTTACCCTGTTGATTTACCATTTAAGCGACATCTGCTGCAGAAAATGAATACAATCTGATAGTCTAAATCCAGATCTTGATTAGGAAAGTACTTTCAGCTTATACATAAAAGGCATTTGTATTTGTAACAGAACTCATTTATTTGCTCCCCATGTAGTTGTTCCAATTTTTTCCTCCTTTATTCTTTTTTCTAATAATCTCTGACAGAACAAACTACACGCTTTCTGTCTCTCTTGTCGTGTCCTCCCCCCCCCCCCCCCCCCCCCCCCT